TCAAAAACAGCAAAGAGTGTTGGGGCTACTTTTCGGTCAACTCCGGCGGCGAGATCCATCAGTTCGCGGACTCGCAGTTCGGCCATATCTTCTCCTCCGGCACCACCCGCGAGGATGCCCGGCGGGGGATGGTGCTCGCCCTGCGCAACCTCGTCATCCGGGGTGAGATCCACACCTCCTCGGCCTATATCATGCAGCTCCTGGAGACCCCGGAGTTCCGCCAGTCCGATGTGGACACCGCGTGGCTGGACCGCCTCATCGCGAAGTCGAACGCGGCGGCGCCGAGCCGCGAGGGGGTGTATTTGGCGTTAATCGCCGCGAGCATCTTCCGCAGCTCGCGGCGGATGCAGGAGAACACCGACAAGTACATCGCCTTCCTCTCCGCCGGCCACACCCCCTCGACGGAGTACCTGTCGAACTACATCACCGAGTCTTATGTCTGCCATGGGATCAAATACACGGTGTCGGCCGGCCGGGTCTCCCCGAGCGAATACGCCCTGTCCCTGAACGGCAGCATCAGTTATGTCCCCTACCGAATCCTCAAGTCGGGGGCCACGCAGATCGCGATTGGGAATCGGACTTACGTGGCCTACATCGGAAAGGAGCCCGACAGCATTCGCGTGATGATCGGGAATAAGGCGATCACCTTCACCGGCGATGTCGACCCGACGCGCATCACGGCCTCCGTCCCCGGCCGGCTGGTGCGCTACCTCGTCGAGGACGGCGTCCACGTCGCCGAGGGGGAGATGTTCGCCGAGATTGAGGTGATGAAGATGATTTTGTCCCTCCGGGTGACGACCGCCGGGCTACTCCACCATCACGCCGTGTTGAACAGCACCATCGCGGTGGGGTCGCTGCTCGCCAGCATCACCCCTGACGACCCGAGCAAGGTGAATCGCCCCAAAGGCGACGAAAGCCCCTGGCCGGACGAGTTTCTCTCCGACCACAAGTACGAGCACCCCGACGGCGTCACCCGGGCCTCCCGCGCGGCGGAATGCCTGTGGAATAAACTCCAGGGCTACCATTTCAAGGACGTCCCGATCGAGAAGAACTTGCAAGGCATCTTTCAGGACCTGGCCTCGGTGTTTCTGTCCTCGGTCACGCTGGAGAAGCTGCACCTGTCCTTCCTGCCCGAGGTGGGGCCGTCCCCGGGCAAGATGCGCACCCCGAACGAGAAGATGGGCGCCATTTTGTCCACCATTATTGGGCACTACGTCTTGGTGGAGTCCTCCTTCGACCAGCTGACGAGGCAAGAGGCGCTGGAGCAGTTGCGGAGCTCGGAGAAGGACCAAGGCGAGATCTTCGCCATGGATTTCGCGCACAACCAGAGCTGCCACCACGAGGTGGTGAAGCGCATTTTGATCTACCTCGAGTCGAACCACCTGCTCCTGAAGTCCCTGCAGCCGACGCTGGCCAAGATTGTGGAGCTGGAGTGCCATGAGCTGGGGCCTTTGCTGCTCCAGGCCCGCTATTTGCTCCGGCAGTGCCTCTTGCCCTCCTTGGCCGAGCGCAAGGTCCTCCTGGCGAAGGAGCTGGAGGAGGGCTCCATGGACAACCTGATCGCCAGCAGCTACGGCTACGATTTGCTGTGCGCGATCATGTTTGACAGCCAAATGCCGCACCTGACCCAGGCCTGCCTGGAGGTCTTCATCCTTCGCGAGTACTTCGGCGACAACACGATTCGCAACCTGAACATCTTCAAGTTCGGCCCGAACTGGTACGCAACCTACAGCTTCGAGGCCCTGGAGGAGCTCCACCACCTCGCGATCGACGACGCCGCGCAGGGCCGGGGCGAGGCCTGCCTTCGCCGCGGCCTCTGCATGGTGATCCCGCACTACCAAGACCTCCGCGCGAGCCTGGAGACGGCCTTCCGCGAGGTCCTCGCGCGCTGCACGGACGACGTCAGCGTCTGCGCGATCTTCCTCGCGGTGACCCACGACAGCTCCCAGATCTCCGTCGCGGAGCACTGCCGGCAGGTGCTGCAGGAGAACCAAGCCGTCATCGCCCGCTACCGCCTGCTCGAGACGATCTACTACGTCGTCCACGGGGTGAACGAGGGGCCGTACATCTTCACCTTCCGCCGCGGCCTCGGCTTCCGCGAGGACGAGCTGATGCGGAACGTCCTCCCTCAGTCCGCGCGGCGCCTGGAGCTGGAGCGGCTCGCCAACTTCGACGTCTACCGCTGCCCCTCGCCTTTTAAGGAGGTCCATGTCTTCCGGGCCACCCCACGGCCGAAGCCGCACTCGAAGCTCGAGAGCCGGCTCTTCGCGCGCATCGTGGTGACCCCGCACGACATGGGGGTGGAGCCGTGGACGGTCGCCACGGAGGTCGACGCGGGCCACATGCTGTCCAAGTCCCTTTCCGCCCTGGAAGTCGTCTATAACGACGCCACGATTCAGTACCCGCCGAGCAACCACATCTTCGTCAAGATGATCAAGATGGTCTTCGACCTGGGCTCGCTTCGGCAGCTGCTGACGTCGGTGGGGGCGTCGTACCAACACCGCCTGCAGGCGCTGGGCGTCTCGGAGGTGGAGCTCTCCTTCCCGCTCCGCGTCGCCGCCGGGGTGATCCCGATGCGGGTGGTTCTCGACAGCCCGAGCGGCTACGGCGTCGGGATCCGGACCTTCTACGAGTCGATCGAGAAGGGCCTGGTCTTCCTGCACCGCGCGGACACCGCGGAGGACGTCGCGCGGTCGCTCGCGAGCGAGGGCCGCGGCGAGGCCGGCCCCCCGGCCCCGGTCTCGGGCAAGGCCG